TCTGTTAGATGTACACTTGTTTAACTTTAAGACCCCAGACGCTATATCTTTTGATAGCCGGGCAATGTCCACTTTCTTTATCGCATTTGCTTATGCACCCATTTTGTCTTCAGTGATCATGCCGACAGGGTGGGCATCACAGAATGACAGAATGCCAGATTGTTAGGACAAAGTGTTCTTGCATTGAGGCAGGGGTTGAACAGAGATCCAAAGTCCATCCACTACCTCATTGTATAGCCATATAAATATATGTATATAGGCCAATGCCTCTGTTTTTATGAATTAATGTATTTATATACGAATATACCTATGTTTATACCTCTAGCCATAGTCTTGCTTCCTAGATCTTCCCTCTGTTAACTTTTACCTTCCTCCTGCTCCACCATCACACTTGTCCCTCTTCGCCTTTTAGTAATTCCTCGCAGCTAAATTGCTTTTGGTCCAACACCCCAGGATCTCTATGTCCGCCTCGGTGTTGATTTTAGTTCCTTAGTTGTTCCCCTGTCTATGGTGTTGTTTGCTCCCCGCTCCCTTCCCCCACCTCCTCCCCCCAAGTCTCTCTGGAACCATGGTCCCATTGCTTTCTCCTTGAGCTTGTTTCCAATGCCTCTTATATAGGTAGGCAAACCAACAATAATGGAAAAACAAAAACAAAAGATTGAATAAAAAGGGAAAAAAAACAACAGTATACATAATTCCAAGTCTGTCCGTTGACCTTTGTAACTATCTCCCCACTGGTCGTGGAATTAGGGGAACTGCCCCTCCTGGCCTGGTCTGTTTTGGGGGGGGCTCCTGGTGTGCCGTATGTTTTTACAATGGTTATCACATGATCTAATGCGTTAAAAACTTGTATCATACAAAGCCAGATTCTAGCATATTTTGGACTGTTTGTCGAATAGACTAGGTAGTGTTGGTTTTTTTTCTCTGAAAGGACTTGCTGGTGCAGAAAATGAAGTTTATCTGTGGTCTTATAAACAGTTCTATATGACAATCTAGATGGGGATGTACTTAAACCAGATATCAACCCATCTGGAAGTTTGTAATCACAGTTATATGTACTTTGCAGGCAAAATGGCAATACCTGTGCTTTGGGAGTTTCTGGAGAAGTACCCTTCCGCTGAAGTAGCAAGAAGCGCTGACTGGAGAGACGTGTCAGAGCTGCTCAAACCTCTCGGTCTCTATGATCTTCGAGCAAAGGCCATTGTCAAGTTCTCAGGTACCTTCCTGTGTACCCAAAGAAAACATTCACTGCGTCTTTTCAAGAGCACTGCGCCATAAACGCTAATGTCCTCAGATGCTATATTAAGAAGGCATGCACAAATATTTCACTTTACCCACACCGCATCCTTCCCCTGACCCAGCCAGTATGTGCCCAGCACTGGATCAAGCCACATTGGCCGAATTAAGGACAGAAGTCGGTGAAGCCAAAAGCCTAGTCATTGACCTCAAGGACCAACGCCACAGTAACACCAAACTCAAGCGCCATCAAGTCGATGCCGACTGACAGCGACCCTATGGGGCAGGGTAGAACTGCCCCAGTGATTTCCTGAGACTGCATCTCTTTAAGGGAGTAGAAAGCCCTCTTTCTCCCAAGGAGCAGCTGGTGGTTTCACACTGCTGATCTTGCAATTAGCAGTCCAACCTGTAATCCCTGTGCCACCAGCATACAGCACAGAATAATAGTGTCAAATGAGAAGTTCAGACAGGGTGCTGCAAGAATTTAGAAGAGAAAGCACTGAGTCTGAGAAAAGATCCTTGCTTGCCCCTTTCTATTCTCTAATCCTGTTCCCCCTCATCACGTATGTAGGGAAGGTATCTTTAGAGGCTTATTTGACATATGGGGTATTATATTCTTCAGATGAATATTTGACAAAGAAGTGGAAGTATCCGATTGAGCTTCATGGAATTGGTAAATACGGCAACGACTCTTACCGGATTTTTTGCATCAACGAATGGAAACAGGTGAGGCCCGCCTCCAGCCATAGTATATCCAACACATTTTATCTGAGGACCCCCTCCCCCCAAAAAATGTCCACCATTATAAAAAAAAAAAACTTGGATAAATCACATTCATTATATTCTCTGTTTGAGGAATAGTGGGTGGCATGGGATAATTGGCAACAGAGAAAGGATTTGTTCAGAACAAAACCCATGCCATCAAGTAAATTCAACACTAGAGAACAGTAGAACTGCCTCTTTGGGGTTTCCCAGGCTATAATCTTTATAGGAGCAGAAAGCCATCTTTCTCTTGTGGTGCAGTTGGTGACCTTGTGGTTAGCAGCTCAACCCTTAAGGACTCTTTAAAACACTTGAAAATCCCCTTGATGGGATCTCTGATAGACCTCCAGTGGTCGGGTCCCTTTGGCCCTCTTTCTCCACTCAGACTATCACGAAAGCCCTATAGTGACTTTCTTCTTGTTACAGTCTCCACTACAGGAAAGCGGGCATTTTTGTTCTTGGAATGTGTGCTTGTTGGATTCTCAGGCTTTGTGGTAACTGGCTCCCGCTCCAGCTGCCCAGTCTGTAGAGTATACTCAGCCCACAAGCAGGCATCCTGGTGGGATCTGGCATCTGGGAGGTGCTGCAAAGTGGTCTGGTCCATGGCCCTCTAAGCCTCCCTCACCCTAATGCTTCACCATCTGTCTGGCCAGGTGTGCAATGAAGGTCCATGTACCAATCCCCTCTCCACTATTTATTTTGACCCAAGCAATCTGCTTAATTTCTCAGGGCCTATAACTTCCTTCTGGAAAATGGGTTGTTAATATTTTACTCATATATCACCACCCCAAGCCACAGGTCATAATGAGGATCAGGACTAAATTGGAAAGTACTTTGTAAGCTATAAAGAATTACATTCATATGAGACTTAATTTTAAATATGAGTCCAACTAGGTTAAAGGTTACCATTTTCAGGCATGTTACCATAATGTACTGTTCACCATAAGTTATAAAGCCAATGAACAATTTTGATTTATATGTGTTATCTTTCTTCTAGGTACACCCTGAAGACCATAAGTTAAATAAGTACCATGACTGGCTTTGGGAAAATCATGAAAAATTAAATCTATCTTAAAACACCTTTGAGTTTTCAAACTCAGGTTTTGAGCATTGCTTTTTGACCTCAAGTCTAAAAGCTTCCTTGAGCACAACCAGCCACCTTTTCAAGCATATAGATGTTTGTCAGCCCAATAGAAACCAAAAGGTGTTCTCTGACTGCGTGCAAGTGTCACCGATGGATCTTTGCTCCTGAATGGACTAGACCATGTTTGGGGATGTTTTTAAATAAATTCTTATTTTATAACAATCTTAAAAGTGTACATAACTTTTCTAATAATGATATGATGGTAAAAAAAAATAAATACTTTTCCAAACTATTAATTATACAAAGCAAATGTCTACCAGCTCTGATAGAGGAAAGTTAAGGTTCTCTTTCTGTGGAAAAGGATATTATACAATTATTTTATGAAGAAGCAATCCGGGTTTGCCAAAAAAAATACACAAGAAAAAGTATAACAGTGTATTATGCAGTTTATGAATTTAAAAATTAAGCCAACTGCCCAAAGAAAAATAAGGTTCTTTTGACATAATGTGTTCTTGACAACTCTGCACTGGCTTCTGAGGAACTAGAGAGGTGACCCCTCACCCATGTGGGTTCCCTGCTCCTTTACCCTCACCCCAACAGCATTGACCCACCTTTCCTCTTCCAGCTGGAAGCCCAGGTATTTTTCAGTTTTATACTATTTTTACTACTGATAATCAAGTACCAAAACATTACCTTAGAAAGAACGCACTAAATCACCCCTGTCCCTAAAGAAAAAATTAAGTTATCAAGTCCCTGTTACAAATCACAATTTTAAGGTATTTAGAAAATTTAATTAATTGAAAAATTGTCAGGAAAACTGTTATAAGGTAGTGTGGGAACAGAATGGGATGCTTTGCATCTGAGCTACGTGGTGGTTAGCACTTCAGTGAGCAAGTTTCTGTTTTTCTAGAGCGGTGGTTCTCAATCCTAATGCCATGACCCTTTAATACAGTTCCTCATGTTGTGGTGGCCCCCAACCATAAAATTATTTTCGTTGCTACTTCATAACTAATTTTGCTACTATCATGAAACAAGCAACCCCTGTGAATAAGGTCATTTCACCCCCCAAAGGGGGGTCCCCAGCCACAGGTTGAGAACCGCTGATTTGAATGGTTTTGCATCTCCAGTGGAGTCACTGTCATAAAATTGTGCATGCAGAAACGATAGGGGGGAAAAAATAAATAATTGAATTGGTGTATGTTTTGCTGTGTTCTCAAGGATACTAAAAGAAAAAAAAGTACATATATGAGGCCTCTGAAAACCTAAGCCACAGCTGAGGATTAAAGGGGCAGCCAGGCCATTGGATATGGCTGACCAGCAAGGCCGTTAGCCAGTCTTACCAGCTCCTCCATTAGGAGGCGCCTGTGTGCAAGTGGGCAATGAGTCCAGCCTCTTCCCTGCCCCTGCTGTTGAGGTTGCCTGATGACTTCAGCACCTGTTTTCTCATCTCATCAAAGTACCTACCTCAAAGTTACTGTGAATACTGAGTTCATAGAGGCGAGGTGTTTAGATAGGTGCTTGGCTTACAAGAGTAACACATCAATGTGGCTCATTACCTAAAATAGGGACAGTCTGAAGGCCTCCCAAAGATTGTTGAGAGGGTCACCGAAGATCATGATTTCAGTAAAGGTTCAGACGTTTAATTCTGTTTCACTTTTTAAACATGGAGATAAAATTCACCATTTGGGGCATGTTCCCAAGGTCTGTGGCTGGTGTGGCCATCTGATCTCCAACTGCATGCAAGAGCAACTTGCAGAGACTGACAGCTCAGGTCAGCAAAGTATCTGCAGCTGCCACTTGTCTTTTCTATCAAATTCTCCAGGATCTGGCCAAGGAAGCCTCCTACCTAAGTCCAGTTTTCCTTCAGCTTCCATGTAGATCTAGCTAGTAAAACAGCCTTGAAATGTGAAAATGCACAAAAGATTTAGAACATTGAAGCACTATGGGAAGAAAACTTCAAGCAGGCTGTTTTGTATGCAGCAGAAAAATTTGTAAATGTACCTGGCTTAATAAATAAAAAGACGTGGGGGGGAAAATCCACCATTTTGACCATTTAAAAATATCCAGTAGCTTTTAATGCATTTATAATGCTAGGTACTTAAGTCCAGATCATCTCCATCATCACCAAGACAAACCAAGTGCCCACCGTCATACATCTATTTCCTTTTCCCTCAGCCCCTGGCCACCACTCATCATCTGGACATTTCATATAAGTCAATCAGTACATGTGAGGTCTTAGCATGTTTTCAAGGGTCATCTACATTATAGCATGTATCAAGACAATATCTCATAGCCAGGTAATATTCCATTGTGTGGATATGCTCCATTTTCTTTACCCAGTAACTGGCATTTCAAACTTTCTTGTTAATACTTTGGTTCTCAGGTTTGTTTTGGGGTACAAAAGAGGGCCCAATCTCAAATGTAATTTAAGGAGAATAGTTTGAAGCCTTAAGAGACAATAGACACAGACACATCATCCAGATGGGGACACCATTAGCACGAGGTCAAAATGACATCTGAGGATTCACAATTGGGGAGCTAGATAAATAGGGCATAGAAACAAAAGGAACCATCACAAATTCATGATTGGTTGCTGATCAATACATCACAGTTAAAGGAACTATAGAAGCAGAAATGGGACCATTGTTACTTGATAGAAGAGGGCTTACAAGATTGGTCCAGGGCCTTTCGACCAAGGCAGGTTGAGACCAATGGGTTATGCCTCATGACTGCAAGCCAACTACCCCTGGCTGCGGTCCCCAGTGTGGTGACCTCCATCAAGGGCTCACCCGGGCGAACTGCCCCTCCCCTTTCCCCTCCCCCTCCCAGTCTGACTGGTGAGGAGTGGAATTAATCTTTCCAAGGCTCTCTGCCTGATGGCAAGATTACCTATAACCTTAGTTAAAGATCCAAAAGAATTCAAAGGAGGCTCAATCTATTTGGGGACCCTGCAATTGAACTGTTGGCTGTGACTGCTGTCCATGGCCTTTTCCAAACCCGGGTGTTCAGAATTTAAACTCTAATACAGGTTCTATCCTTTCAAACCATGACACCGTCTTCAGTTTGATCACCATTCGCTTGGTGATTCGCTTGATCACCATAATCCTCCGAAGGACACGGGCTTAATTGGGTGAGAACTACACGACGGAAATGTGGTGTGCAGACCTGTCGAAGACCCTGCTGTTTATGAGATGAAAAAATATAAGGATTTATGACTCCAGATTCGAGGGCTACTGGACCAGAAGAAGAAACCCCCGTCTCCAAGCACAGATAGGGTCTCTTCCTGGTATCTCCCATGCAGAGGGTACTAAGGAAACCCAATACACTGGCACAAGCCCATCCTTGGCTCCGCCCCCCACTCGCAGCGCTCGACCAATCACCACGTTCGAGCCCCCGTTGTCATGTCAACTGAAATGTTAGCTGGTCCTTGGCCGCAGGGCTCGAGGTGTTCTAATACGCCTGCACAGGACCCAAGCAAACACACATACCCAAGGCACACTACTACATAGTTGCACGCAGACTCTCTCGCACTGGCTCCCAGCCTCGCGACCATGGACCATTCCTTGAAAACGTACAAGACGCTGTTCCTGTCGCTGCTCGGTAAGCTGCCGGGAAACATCTCCCCAGCAAGCCCTCAGCCTCTTGAGACGCGTGAAAGGGCTGAGGGCAAGTGCCGGAGCAGAGATGTCACTGCCCTATTGTGCCGCCCCTTCTGGCTGAGAGGGTGGGTGGGATGCGTGTGAGTGGCAAAGATAGGCAGGTCGTGCTCATTGCTGAAATGTCCGCGCCCGCACAGGAAGCGTGGAACCAGTGTGTTGCCCTAAGGTTCAGCTGGGCATTAGTGTGCTAAGTTCTGGAGAGGAGGCATGGAGAACTTGGCTTCTCAATGTCCCGACGACTTCCTGCGGTGGATCAAGGAGTTTGCAAAGCACTACGGCCTCCCAGGTGAAGAGGAGAGGGGAAGACGGATTTCAGAATAAGAAGGGGTGAAGGTCAGCCGAGAGCAGGAGATGGAAGGAAAAATTCATCCAAGTTTCTGGAAGCCGAAAGCAGAGAGAAAGAGTTCCCCAAGCCAAAGGGGGACGGAAAGGCATGCCAGGCCAAGGGCACAGCATGCATAGGGGCCGGGAAACCGTGTCTTCAGGAAATTCCTGGTTTGAGGATATCTGGAGATGGGGGTGGAGAACTTGGAAGGTTACTCTGAAAGGTCTTGTAAGCCTGGGGAGAGGAAATAATATTGAAGTAGTATTCAGTACTCCATGGGGAGTGGCAGGACTGGATGGATTGGTGGTGGTGGTGGTGAAGTGTGGTCAAGTTGGTTCTGCCTCATAGCAACCCATAGCAACAACAGAACAAAACACTGCCCAGGCCTGTGCACAATTGTTCTGGTTAGATTGGTAGAAGTCGGCAAATGTGGAGAGTGGAATAGGTGGATAGCTGCATAACCCTGTGCATAACTAAATGACAATGGCCTCACTTATTAAGAGTCCCCTCACCTGCCAGTGAATACAGAGCCCCAAAGATCACCAGACAGCAGGCGCCAGGAAGAGGTTGTTGTGAACAGTCAACATTAGAGAGGGATATCAAGGAGTGTTCTCTGAAAAGAATGACATTTGGGCTGAGAATGATGTGATGGGAGGAAGCAGGTGGAAACAGAGAGTCTGGAACAGCCGGGAGAGGCTAATGAAGAGCAAGGAGCCTAGTGCTGGAGTCTAGGGAGGAAGTGGAGGAAGAGGATGGGGGGAGTACAGCTTCATAGGCCCTAGTACCAATTTCCAAAGAATTCGTTCCAACTCACGGTGGCCTCGTGCGTGTCAGAGTAGATCTGTGCTCATAATAAAGTTTTCAATGTCTGATTTTTTTCAGAAGCAGTTTTCTTCTGAGGTACCTCTGATTAAACTCAAACATCCCTTTTTAAAGTTAGGAGTCGAAAGCTTAACCTTTGGCTTTCATTACCCTGCTGCTGTTGAGTTGATTCCAACTCACTGAGACCCGATAGGACAGAGTAGAACTGCCCCTTGGAGTCTGCAGGAGTGTGACCTTTATAGAAGCAGACGGCCTTGTCTTCCTCCCACGGAGCTGCTGTTGGATTTGAATTGCTGAACAGCTGAGCGCTTAACCACTGCACCATCAGGGCTCCTTCCCTGGTTGTTGCAATGAGAAGCCATTGAAAGTTTGAAAAGAGAGAGCGGCATGATCTGATATTACATATTTAAAAGACTCTTTGGCTGAGGTATGGAACCTGTCATCGGTAATGGCACTAACCTAGTTTCTCACTGACCTCCTCCCATGTGAAATGTGCGTCCAACTCTGCGGCTGTTGGCAGGGCCTCTGGGTTGATTCTAACACAGAAAAGCCCGGGTGATAGAGTAGAACTGCCCCGTAACCTTGTTAAAGAGACTGTTTTTTTCCCCATTAGATGGACTTTGATCCCACATTGGCATTCAGGGTCCATAGATGGATAGATTCCTTTCTGGGTTCTCAATTCTGTCCCACAGATCTGTTTCTATCATCGAGTCAGGCCATCTAGATTACTAGAGCTGTGCAGGATGTTTTGAGATCAGAGAATGTGAAGCTTTCTACTTTGTACTTCAGTATTATTTTCATTTTCGTTATATGCAGCCTTTTTCCTTATGGTGAATAGTTTTTCCATTTTGGTAAAAAAATGTTGGGAGTTAGTGTAAGATTGCATTGTATTTATAGATCACTTTGGGAAGTAATGATATTTTCACAATATTAAGCTTCCAATCCATGAGCACAAATAGCTTCCTATTTATGTGAATCTTGTTTAGTTTTTAGAGTAGTTTTATAAAAACCTGACTCAATCGTTAAGGCACACATCAATTGTCATCTCCTCTATGATGACCTCCTAGGTTTCTCCCCTAGGAGCAAGTCTTGACCCCGCTGATTACATATTCCCTTTGATCTCTTTCCCTTGGTTCATAGCAGTGCACCGCTGTCAGGCAGCCAGCCTTAGTTGAGCCCACACATGGCACAGAGCCAAGCATTAGGTGCTTCTCAGTACATGTAGATTTGATGAATCACTAAATTCTCAGCCACACCCCTATCTTGTTCTCAAAGAAATAATGAATGGGTAATTAAGTGCTCATTTTTGCTCATATTTTTTTTTATTGTGAATTGGGTGAAGGATTACAGAGCAGATCAGTTTTCCATTTAACCATTCATACACATTTTGTTTCATCTCATTGATTGCAAGTCTAACAATGTAACATCTCTTGTCCTACTTCTTTTTTATTATTATTATTAATCATTTTATGGGGGAGGCTCTTACAAATCTTATAGCAATCCATCATTCAATTGTATTAAGCACACTTGTACGTATTTTGCCATCAACATTTCCAAAACACTATTTCTACTTGAGCCCTTGGCATCAACTCCTCTTCTTATCCTACTTCTTGTGTTTCCTGTTTTCATACCTCCTCCTTTCCTGACCCTTCTGAATTTTGTCCTTGGGTAAATCATGCTCTTTTGATCTCAAATGATTGATTACCCTAAGGTGTTCACACCTCCTTACTGTCATTGTTTCCCTTATAGACCTGTCTATTATTTGGCTGAAATTTGAGCCATGCCGTTTACTTCACTTCTAGGTCTGAAGGGTGACTGTGGGCCATAGTCTTGGGAGCTCCACCAGATTCTTTTGTGAATGAATGTGGAAGATGGCAGTCCCAGCAAAGGGACACGCATGTGCCAAACCTTTAGGCAGGAGGAGGCTTGGCGTGTTCCAGGAAGAGAGACGCTTAAAACACCTGGGGCATAACAAGTATGTGATAAGTAGGGAAAGGGTGGTGGCAGATTGGGTGGTCATGGCACTTAATACTCACCTTTGAAGCCATAATTTGAGGTCTA